TTTCGTTCCATATTGTCCTTTTTGAACTTTACGCAATACACGCTCAATCCTTTCTTCTAAGGATTGAACATCATTTTGTGTCTCATCCACAATTTTCTCTAAAACGTCAATATCATGTTTGGTACTCTTGCTAGTTATTCTGGGAGTGGAGACTTTGTAGCCATCGGAATTCCTCAGGGAATCTATGGAGGATCGACTAACTGGAGGTAAGTCGGTATCTTCGTTGCTCATACCATCATCACTCCAGATATCTTCAATCAGTTCGCTAATATCTATTTCTTCACCCGTCCTCGGAACAAAACTATATCTTACTTTTGATCCAAATATACGAGAACTTCTAATTGCACCCATGCTGGTGACAATATCAATACCTTGTGATGTATTTTTACGTGCCGCAAGAATCGAATTTTGTTTTGCTCGACTATACTCACGTTGTTGTTCAATGAGTGCTTTACGTGATTGAAGATCAACATTTTGTTGCGCAGAATTTTGATCGCTCAACCTTTTAGGCACCACAGATTGAAGTGCATCTTGTGTAATCCTTTTTATTTCAGCGGCCGAAGGCATGGTTCTTGATTGCAAATCTTCCAATCTCAAAAGCCTAAGTACAAAAATTGGTTCATCTGGACGATATTCAAATGATAATGACGCAGAGGAATCTAACGAATCGATTGATAGGTGTTGAAAATTTGGCGATAAAAAAACAGAGCTAATGGCGGTTTCTGGCTGAAGAGGTTTTTCTAAACAATAAATCAAACAATATTATTTAAATATATATATATTAAGAGGAATAAAATAAAATCGTGTTTACCTTCTCCGTCGACAATCACCATAAGTTGATATCTTAACTTTTCGTCATCTATATCCAAAATCCTGCTGTTATCATAAGCTATACCATCAGTAATCCCGAACTTGTTTATGGCTTTTTCTATGACGTTAACAACAGTGGCATGTGAATTTATAATCACACTTTTCTCTTTTGGCTTTCCTTCTTCTCGTGAGCGCCTCCTTGATGCTTTTTCCGCGAGATGTTTTGGTACAGACATAGAAGTTCGTGGTATTTGATTACCCTTAACTCGCAGTTGAGCAGGCAAATCATCTGCATATGCCAGTACGCGTACACGGAATTTACGTTCGTCAGATGATCTGCTATCTCTTTTTGATTTTTTGTTTAAAAAGAAGCAAACTGCATTCTGATTCTCATTTTGCAGGTCTAGTGTCTTTATAACATCGTGCTCAGATATATTTGATGAAGTCGAAGAAAATGAGGATATAGAACTTTTCCTGACTGTTGGTAAAGAAACTGAAGAGACAATCAAAGATTTATAGATCTCAAGGGGAAGATCATGCGAATTTAACCGGACTTGATCTATTGAATATTGGTTAAAGTAATTTTTTAGGTGAAATGCAGCATATAGCATTTGGTTTCCTACCTCCATCCATTTCTTTTACAGTAATATAATAATCAATCCAACTGTCTTCGGAATCCAATTTGAATCTATTTAATGTTTGTTTTATAAGATCCTTCACAGATGTAGTAGGGCTTAATAATGCGATCTTGAATTCATCGTCTGTCATTATATTTTTTCCGGCAAAAATTCGAAAAACACTATAAACTGGGCTCTGAGCAGACGGAACTTGGGCAGATGT